CATCTTGGAGGTGTTGCCGAGCTGGCACCAGGCCGAGTAGCGCGCCCGCCCCTCCGCATCGAAGAGGCTCGGCCGCGGCGCGTTGCAGGCGCCGTGCTGTGCCTGCTTTGCGAGTGCATCGAGCAGCAGCCGGTCCGACACGTCGATCGCATCGTTGCCGTGCACGAGCTCCTCGCCGTAGCGGAGGGCCAGGTCGAACTTCTCGGGGAAGCCGAGCACGGGGGCGTCGGACGCTCCACTCCCGCGCATGTGTTGGTTGGTTGAGGGTAGTGCACACCGTGGTGCACTGGCTGCCACACACAGAGGCGCCCCCACAAGTTGTGCAAATCAAGAAACCCTGTTCTTGGCCCTGGGTGTGTGTGTGCGGTGTGTGTGTGTGTGTGTGTGTGTGTGTGAAAAAAAAACTGTTCAGTTTTCAAAGGCAAAAACGCCAGCCTACGCCCTCCCCTCACACTGACACTTCTCCCCTATTCCCGTCTTTAGGTTGCGCACATCTCCCAGCGAGCTAGGTTCTCCGCTTTTTCTCCCCTAGTCATCTGCCCGCGCCGCGCGCCTCTGTGGGCGTCTAGTGCAGCCACTGACAGAACTGTTCCAAAGGAGTGGTCAACGTCTCGCCTGAAGTCGGGTGGGCTCGCGCACTGCTTAGCCCTAGGGGAGGGGTGTGTGTGAGGTGTCGGAATGGTAAGGTTTCAGGCCGCCAAGGTGTGGGGGATTTGGGGGATGAGTCAGGAGCCAGCAGCCTTCCTGCTGGACCTGAGTTCACAGCTCCTCCGCCCGACGGGGTGGTCCCTTGGATTCGGGCCCCGCTCCCTTTTCCTGCGCCTGGTCTGTCCCTGTCAAGTGTGTGTTGCGAGATGCAGAGCTGGTTAGGCTGGAGCGCGGGCGGTGCGGTGGCAGGCGAGGGCAGCGCGGTAGGCGAGAGGCGGCCGCGGGGCTTCGAGTGGCGCGATAGGAGGGTAGGCTGGCTGTGGAGGGGCGCCGCGTGGCCTCGGCAAATGAGTAGTGCTTTATGAGCGGCCAGTTTTGTGCGTATTGCATATCGACCCTCCGGTGTGGCCTATTTGGTCCAGCTTTCGGTTCGGGGACTTTTTGTTCTTTGTTTCGAGCCCAGCTGGTCCATTTCGTATTCCCATAGCGCGCGGGTGCGCGGCAGCCTCGCCAACCGAGGCGACATTGGCGACCAGGGGCGACCAGGGGCGACCAGGGTTCAGTTCAGACCATTGCGGCGCCCCAAATTTTTTTCAATGGGCTCGGTCAGTGGGCGTTTCAGGAGGCGCCCGCCCGGGAAAAACTCGCCAGTAAAACTCCCCCCCCGCCCCAGGAGGTGGGAGTTTCCCGGAGGCGCCCATTGGCGCGCCCTCCTTTTTTTCGGGGGTCCGATTTTTTTTCTTGTGTGTGTGTGTGTGTGTGTGTGTGTGTGTTTTCGTGTGTGTGTGTGCTCCCCCCCCCCTGGGTGTAGGTATGTTGTTGGCTGTTGGCAAAGACAGGGAGCTCCCCCAAATTCCCAAGGGGGGGGGGGGGGGGGCGAATCACTTTAAAAAGGGGCCGATTGGGGCTGTGGCCTATCTGTCTGTCCAGAGGGGCAGAGGCCTTTCTTACAAAAGAAAATTGTTTGGTATTGCTTTCTTTATTGTAAAATTCTTTCATTATCAATCACGAGAGAGAGAGATTTTTAGCAATACCAAACAACTCTAACACTCACACGTAATTTGGGGCCTGGAGCCCTGTTCACGCGCGCGCGAGACGTGCAGACAGGGTTGCCAGGTGAGAGCGAATGGCGCGGTTCACGCCTCGCACAACAGAGAGAGAGATGCGCTCTGCATGGTGGGACATAAAAGAGAGCGAGTACTTGGGCGAGTAGGCCGTGCGGTCAACGCTGCCGCGCGCGACTTTGCGCGCGAGGCGGCGCAGCTTGAGAACGGCGGTGGGCGAGAAGCCGCCGCCGAACGTCTCGTGGAGCAGCAGGTTGAAGTTGTTGCGCTTGACAAAGATCGCGTCGTGGTAGAAACCGCGATGCGCCTTGACGTAGCCGTGGCCGGTCTTGTGGGAGAAGGGTTGGCTGGGCTGCCCGCGCGCCTTGCAGCCAATCACGCGCGGTCCCACGCACGCAGTCCTTAGTCCTTAAGAGAGAGAGGTCAGTCAGTCAGGGAGAGAGAGAGAGAGAGACTATTCTTTCATCTTTCTTGAGGTCAGTCCTTGAGCCAGAATGCATTATGCAGAATCTTATGTATGTATGTATGTACAAAGAGAGAGGACTCGAGGTAGATTTGGGGAGGGCGCGAGTGGGAGACTTTTCGGCGGTCGAAATGCGTTTTGAAGGAGGGAACGACTCCGCCGAGTCGACAAAACACCTGGCAACCCTGTCTGCACGTCTCGCGCGCGCGTGAACAGGGCAACAGTCTCCAGGGGCTCCAGGCCCCAAATGATGTGTGAGTGTTAGAGTTGTTTGGTATTGCGAAAAATCTCTCTCCGAGTCGGGGATTGAGATGGCACAATCCATCACCGCAGAAGTGTGACACTCCAGAGCGATGCGAACGCCAACGGAAAGGATATCAATCCACTGCTCACCATCCGGATGCTTCCCGAAGAACTTGCGCAGCTGCTCTTGGCGAGCTTGCGTACCGGAGGGTTGCGTAGGTCGACCTTCTCAAACGTGCAGACTGAGGCCACCTCGATCGCCAAACCACATTTCAATGTGGCCCGCGGCTAGGTTGGGGCGGGAGTCCGGCTCAAGCATCGCCGTGAAGCCCACAACGGCCGTCGTGTGAGGCCTGGAATCGCGGTCACAAAATTTCGCAGTCGGCGTGCGCTTGTTCACAGCTAGAGGACCGAGAAACACATTCTGATAATCCAGCCTAGGCCTCGACAGGCCTCGACACCTCGACAGCAGCTCGACACCCTCGACACCGGGCCTCGACACCTCGACACCAGGGCTCAGGTACCACGCATCTTGCGCGCCTGCTTGTTGATGTTGTCGGCGTCGCCCGCCACCGCCGCTTAGGTTAGGTAGGAAGGTGAAGAACAGCCAGGCTCGGACTGGACACCAACGCGGTATGGGTGGACGCGACCGCCGCCATGGAGATCGGCTGCGTGTGGTGGAAGGACGACAAAGGAGGAGGCGCGCTCGCCGACGCCGCCCCATACACCGTCCAGTCCGTGTTTGTTAGTGCTCACCGCTTCCTTGGGGGGGGGGGGTCCTCCATCCATCGCAGGGGCAAGGTTTTGTGTGAGTGAGTGAGTATTCTTGATACGAAACCACGACGACACACACCAGTCGACTCGCATCGGTTGCCTCCATGAACGGCGGAGCTATTCTCGCGCCCACACCACACCTGGCTCCAACGTGGACACGCCCATAGCTGGGGACACTACTAGGTCATGCATGGCATCAGAAGTTTTATCTCTGGGCCCCGAAACGCATCTCTAGCAGCGTCGTTACGCATGAGCCCTCCCCTCCTGGGCGCATGCGCCTCACATCTCGCCAGAGCATAAGCCCTTGGCATAGTCTGAGGGTTAGGTTTCTGGAGCCTCGGGTGCTTTTACGCTTTTGATCGGGTCAGGGGAGAGTGCGACTTTTACCACTTTGGTCGTCTCGGAGCGCCCAACTTTTAGCATGTTTCAAAAATTTCTTCGGCGCTGCGCGCCGCGGGTGCAGCAAGTACTAGCTATCCCTATCGTCCCGCAACGGCAAAGTAGTTCCCGCACACTATGGCTAAAAAAATGCTGCCGCTCGCCCCTCGAAAGCGCCCGCCGGTGTTTGTCCAAACATGTAGCGCTACAAGTTTGTGACACATAAGGACGCATCCTCCCACAACACTTCACCCGCTGGCTTGGTTGCAGCTGCCGAGGTACTATCTGCCGGCTTGGGGGGGCTAGTGGCATTCGCCGGAGAGTAGAATGTCCAAAATTTTCGCGCGCCTGCGGCGGCGCGACTTTTACCATTTTGCCCCGGGCGGGCCCACTTTTGTCGTTTTGCCCCAAATCTACGGCTAGCCGTGCTTTTAGCGTTTTGACCCAAATCGGCCGAACTTTTAGGATACCCTCAGACTATGGCCCTTGGTGTGCAGCGAGACGAGTTTTTTGCCATCGCCGCGAGCAGCAAGCCGCCCGCCGCAAACAGCCGGAGGCATCGCCACGGCACTGACTGCGCCGCGATCCCGCACCCGTCGACGAAGCTCCCCCCGCGGAAGACCGCGCGTAGCGACGCCTTGACGATCGAGATGAGCGCGCTCGAGGCTCGCCCACCTACTGCCCCTGAGAGTTGGTTACGAGTGGGATCAGCTCCCCCCCTTGGGATCACAGCTTCCACGACCTCACACCCAACATCACAGGTGGGATCAGAGAGAGACTCCACACCGGACACCGCCCGGGCACAGCCTCCCTACCCATCGGATTGCACAGGGCCCCCTCGGAGCAGCCCACACACAATCACGCATCGGCAGAATTAGTGCCTGAGTCAGGCAGACAGCACAGACAAGGAGAGGAGAGAGAGGGAGGAGAGAGAGAGAGAGGAGAGAGGAGAGGGTGAGGGAGTGTGCACACGTGAGGAGTGGGGAGGGTGTCTGTGGTGGGCTGTAGTCATACTACGTGGTTACAACCACGCGCCCCTCACAGGAGCTTAAGGTAGAGTGGAGCGCCCTAGACGCCTCGGTGCCTCCCACCGGCGTGAAGACCATCCGGATCTACCCAGCCCGCCCTCCGGACAAGCTGGTCCCCGCGATGGTCCACGGTCCTCCGTCGCCTGGTTCATAAATAAATAAAACAGACATCCCAAGCTAGGGCTGGGTCGAGGACAGACACGTCCCCACCTTTGCAGGATTTTGCAAAAGCGAGGGGGGAGGGCGCATCGCGGCGCGGAGAGGGCTGGGCACGGGCACAGGGGGTCTCTCTGGTTCACACACACACACACACCTGAGGTTTTCTCCAAACAGACTTGAAAACTCTCACAAGACGCTGTCACGCCTCCGTGCTGCCGGTCGCTTTGCTGGCCGTCGTAAAAGATGGCATCCATCAGGCATTCGACGCTCCACATCGGCAACTGGGCGATGACCTGGCTGCAGGCCTTCCTCACTGCCGTCTCGCACAACCGGCCTTTCCATCGCCCGCTCGGCCGGCACGAATCGCAGGTCGCCGGCGCCAGCTTCCTGCGATGCCTGCCCGGTGTGGGCTCGCCATTTGACACGCCAAGGGAGGCGGCTATGCCACGCGTGCCGTCAGCGCGCCTGATGTCGACAAACGTATTGAGTGGCAGCGGCTGCTGCGAGTCGGATCAACAATACCGCAGTTTACTGCGGATGCAAACAATCGGCGCGTGGGCCATGCAGCGTGCGCTCGAGTGCTACAACCGCACCCGTGTGCCTGCGGCTGCGCAGGCGGCGATCCTTCACTTTCGCTGCTCGGACGCGCCCTTCAGCCGCCACACGGCCTACCACTTTTTGCGCTACTCGGGCTGGCGGCTGCAGATTGACCGCCTGCTCGCCGCGGGCAAGCTGCAGGCGGGTGATGCGCTGCACGTGGTCGGCTGCTTTCACCACGAGTCGGAGACGTTTTGGGAGGCGGCGTACGCAACGCGCTTCTCGGTCGAGGCCCAGTGCCGCGCATACGCGGAGCACCTCGTGCGCCACCTCGCAAACTCGACTCCGCTCGCGCCCTCGCTGCACGAATGCGAGCACGGCATGGTGGACGAGTTTGTCGCGATGCTGCGCGCACCGGCGGTCCTCTCCGCCGCCAGCTCGATGTCCTTCGTCGCAGGCTACTTTGGCCGTGCGGGCACCTCGGGCGCCTTCCAAGCGGCCAGCCTTCTGGTCGAGGCGAGGAGCGGGCTGGCCGCAACCTCGAGCTGCAAGAACAAGCCGACCTGCCCCGAGGCTGCCACGGCCCTGTCGGGGCCGGCCGGGCAGCTTCCGCCTAAGTGGTGCTTGTCTTGCGACAGGGCCCCGTGGCTGGTGCCCTCCTCCCACCTGCTCACCCACGCCGAGGTGCCCGACTACCTCGACACCGCCCACGTCCTCGCCCTCCTCGACCCGCCCGCCCCCGCCGGCGCAGCGCCGTCGGCTGGGCACGCGGCAGCAGCGTCGGCAGCAGCTGAGCGCCCGAGCTCTTGCGCCGCTCGGCCGGCCTCGAGCGTCTCGGGCGTCGTGGTGACCAGCGCCGGCGGCGCGGGCACCACCTCCCTCCTGCTCGCCCTCCGGCTCGCCGGGCTGCCGACCAACACAGTCGACGGGAGTGACGGCCTCAAGCACATGCGCGCGGCGAGGAGCGGGGTCCGCCTACGCCGCGCGCCGCCCCCTCTCGGCACGCGGCCGCTGCTCCTCTTTCTGTACGACGACCCGGTCCGCGCCACTCTCTCCTTTGCGCGCCGCGGCTGGGCCAACTTCCAGGCCTTTCGCCTCGAGGCGGGCGGCGCCCGGTTTCCAAAGCCGCTGCAGAACCACCGCTGCGTCGCCGCCGCGAAGCGTGAGTTCATCGACGACCAGAGGCGGCGGCGCGAGGCGGAGCCGTGGACTCTTCGCCTCTCCATTCCGATGAGAAGTCATGATTCATAGGCGGCGCGAGGCGGAGCTGGCTGCCGCCTTGCACCCGGGCGGGGCGGCGGCCTCGCCGCCCCCGCCGTCGCCCCGGAGGAGGGGAGGCGGTGCGACGCGGTGCGAACTACTCGACGGTGCTGTAGCCTTCCACGAACCGTCCACGAGCCTTCTCTGAACTCTCCTATAGGTCCACCTCCGCCGGCAGCGAGAGCGGGCGCGGCAGCTCGGAGGCGGGCGAGGCTTCCCTGAGCCTCGGAGGCCATTTCGTAGGCAACGAGAGCGTGCGCAGCTGCTCAGAGACAGTGGCGCTGCGCGGGCTCAGCTCGCCGGGCGCGGCGGAGGATTGGATCGGGCTCGAGCGCCACTGGGACGAGTGGGTGGCGGCGGCGTGCGCGGGCCGGCTGCGCGGCAGCGGAGGAGGGCCGCCGCTCGACGTTTGCGCAGCGCGTCGCCCAGCCCGCCGCCCTCGCCCGGCCCGCACGCCACCGGCCAGCTCGAGGGGCGCGGCGCCGTCTGTTTGGTTGGGTTCCTCCGGACGTTTGCTTCGCCGCCCGTGTACGTGGGCATCGCCAGGGCCGCACGCGCGCTGGGCGACGTCGATGTCTTTGCGGTCGTCGCCAATGGGGCCGGCGACACCGCCAAAGGGCAGGCCGGGGCGGTGCCATCCGAGCAGGTTGCCGCGGCGCGGGCGCACTTGCAGCCCAGGGAGTGGGTCACTGCGCAGCCAGAGATGGCTCTGCCAGCCGCGTGCCCTAACTGCCTCGGCCAGCTGGCCAAGTTTGAGCAGTGCATGGCGCTCGTGCGGTCGGCGGAGCGTCGGGACGGCGGCCGCTACACGTGGGTGGTCAAGATGCGGCCGGATTGCGTCCCCTGTGGCGACGTGCCGCCCGTCGCCAGCTTGCGGCGGCCCGCAGACAACGTGGCGCTCGCCGCGGGCGGCGACTTGTTTGTGCTCTACCCACGCCCACTGGCGGAGGCCGTCGCGAGCGGCTGGCGGCGGGTGGACTGCCGGCGGCACCACCGTGTGTTTGGCGGCAACCTTACGGGGTGCAACCACGTCGCAGAGGCGGCGCTCCGCGCCGCCGGAGGGCAGTCGCGGACCACGGGCCAGTTTGACTGCGACATTGTGCGCACCGCGGAGGGAGCCCGCTCCATGTTTCAGTTTGGAAAGTACGCCCTCCACGGCGCGCTGTGGGGCGACGTGGAGGGGTGGACGCCCAACCGGACCCTGTACAAGGGATCCGGCGTCGTCGCGGCGACGGCTACGCGCTTCTGCGGCAGGGAGTGGGGCGGGAGGTACGTGTCAGCCCGCAGTACATTCACATAGGTTAGGCGCAGGTTGGTACGGCTCGCTACCTCCAGTATCGTAGTCTTTGTTAGTATCGAGGTGTCGTGAGTTTTGGCACTGATCAAATGAGTTCCGCACACGCACAGCGCTGCGCGCTGCGGGCCCCCATGAGGCATGAGCATGACCCGCACCCGCCACCTCCGGCGCTCCGCCCGACCCTCCGTTCACGGCTATGCTAGAATGCTTAAAGCCGTACGTACCCAGAGGAACCCAGTACGACTTTTTTTTGCGACTAGAGAAGGTATAATAACGTATAAAGGGTTAGTCAAGGTAATCCAATTATCTCCTCGCCCTCTGTGGAGGCCGCCGCATTCGTGCCGTCGGCTGGCGTCGGCATCGCGGTCGCGCGCCGCCACTGCTCGTCGTCAAGCATGTGCCAGTACTGCTCGCCCTGGTAGCCGTCGTATTCGACCTCGTGCACGAGCCGGCCGTCCACGTCCTCCTCCCGCCCCGCGATGGTGGCCGGCCACCACAAGCCTTGCTCGCCCAGGATCTCGACGTGCGTTCCCGTCTCCACGATGGTGTGCCCCGCCTGCTTCGCCGTCTCGTCCACCCGCAGCCGCTCCCGCCGCTCCCTCTGGCCCTCCCTCGCCGTCGGAAGGGCGTAGTTCGGACCGCTCTCCTCCACGCCGGACAGCACGTCCGCGGCGCTCACCGCCTCGACGTCCGTCGCCTCCTCCGCCGCCGGCTCGGTCGAGCCGCCCGCCGCCTCCCGTCGTCGGCGCTGCCGCTCGCGCTCGTGGTGTGCTGCTCGGCGCTGGCTCCGGCTCAGGTCAGAGGGCCCAGCGACTCGTCGGTTGGGTGTAAACGGGCATCCCCGAGTGGCTTCAAACCAAACAGGGTGTGAATAGAGCTGTCTTGATGGTGCTGAGGACGAAGCCACCTCAAACTTTGATGAAGCCGCGAGTTTTTATAGTTTTCATTAGCTGTGAATAGTTATTGCGCCCGCCGCAGCCCGCCCTATTCCACTGGGCACGCGCCACGGGCCACGAGAGCCCTGGAAGAGCCCAGCTGGCATGTTCTATCGCCCGGGTGGCGGGCTGTCTGCATACAGACGTCTCGTCGCCATGGCTGACGCACGACTGGTCCGACGTGCGGTGGGAGTTTGACCTCAGACAGGCCGTCGGTGTCGGCGGGCTGACGGCGGCCGCCGGAATCGCGATTCGCTCTGCCAGCTGCCAGCAGCCTCGTGTCGCGGCTCTCACAGGTGCAGCTGCCAGCAGCCTCGTGTCGCGGCTCTCAGCGGTGGTGATTGGTCTTTGCGCCGTCGCTCGACGGCGTCACCACCCATCCGATCTGCGCAGCTCCTGCAGCTCCTGCAGCTCCTGCTGTCAGTCTTCTACTCTCACTCGCCGCGCGCGGATTGTGCGCCGCACCAGCAGGACACATGCTCATGCAAACAGTGCGAGAACTTGGTTGCGCCGCTTAGTGGCGGCGCTGCTTTAGAGGAAGCGGCAGCGTGGGAAGCACAGCAGATGGAGGCGGCGCGGCATGCCAAGGAGCTGCAATCGCAGTACTGGGGGCGGCAGCGCCAGCAACGAGCAAGGAGAGACTGGCGGAGGTTGAGCGGCTGAGTGCAGCAAGGGCCAAGGGCAAGAAAAAGGAATGTGGGCGTGGGCGATACGGGCGCCGCTAGGCTCAACGAGGAGATGCTGTGCAGTTAGAGAGCTCGTAGCGAGCTCGATTTTGGATGAGAATTTAGATGAGAAATCCCTCAATTTTGAGAAAAAACGCCAAAAAATCGGCGCCTGCGGCGGGCCAGCCTCCGGCGGCGCCTGCGGCGGGCCGCTGGGGCTTCCTCCCCAGACCCCGTTTACACCCGAGCTATGCCCCACGACCTGAGCCGGAGCCGCTCGACGGCACGCCGCCGCCCTCGTGCACGCACGCCGCCTGCGGTTCCTTTTTTACCCATCTCGCACAGTAGAGGTGTCCGTTTTTATTTATTTACACAAGCAAAAAAGTGACTTCACGTTGCGCATTTCTCTTATTTAATCGCAGCTCTCTAAATCTCCCTCTCTCCATTGGCCGTGCCCGTGGGCGACGGCCGGCCGTGCTGCAGGATACAGGCGGCTCGGGCCCTCAGCTGAACGAGATTTGGCAGCGAACGGCGCCGCACGGGATGCGGTGGCGCCGGCGACCGGCCTGCTGCCGCAGTTGGGGCGGCCCTCGGGCTCCCGTTCTCGGAGCGCTGGCTGGAGAACTGCGGTGCCGCGCTGAGGGTCACGCGCTCGTTGGAAGAGCGTGCCGTGGCAGCCAGGATGGCGGCGCTAGTCGCCGGCGCGGAGTCGCGCCTTGATGCCGGCGCCGCCGAGCCAAACACGTCGAAGCACCTCACGACCTGACCGCTTCGCACTGCGAGCAGGCCGGCCGTCTCCGCGTCTAGCGTGTTGATACGATCGAGGAGGTCGACACCGTTAGCGTTGCCGCGAAAGGACACCTCCATATCGCGCGCAACCTCGTCCGACGCTACGATGAAGCAGGCGACGCATAGGACGGGAAGCGGCGTGTAGAGGCCAAGGGCGGGCAGGAACTCGAGCGGCAGCATTAGCATGTAGATGACGGCGAGCCCGACCATGTAGTAGTGAAAGAGCGTAGGCACTCGCGGTGGCGCGTGCAGGGACTCGATCGCCTCAAAGTCTCGAGAGAGCTGCGTGACTTGTGCGTCCACGGCGAGTGCAT